ATAGTTTGCGAGGTTACTTTTTTCCAAGCAGTGGCAGTAAAATCAATCACATTCTTAATATTTAAGGGTTCAGGAGGTTCACCAGATTCTAAAAAAAAATTGAATAAATCTATATAATCTTGGCAGAAAATTTTTTTATAATGCGCCTAAATTATATAAGCAACAATATGTTAATAATTTTTAATAAAAAAAATTTTTATAAGAAATTATTTAGCTTATCTTGAAACTCCAAATAATTCCTACATCACACGGTTGCAAATAAGCTGTTGTATTCGGAAGGAGAATATGAAGCTTTATATTTGTTAGAGTGTAGCCCTATTCAAGTCCATAAGTTGATGCTCTATCTATGAGACGAAGAATTAACCGACCAGCAAGTTTCATTTGATCATCAAGATGCTTGATATATTGATTAAAAATAGACGTTTGTATCCATGCAGAACTGTTCCAGTAATAATACACAAGTAAGGTTGACTTATCAACATTATGAAGAGCTCTAGGATTTTTATATTTGTGTATAAATAAAGAAGGAAGTTTATGCTCTCCAGTTGCATTGCATGTTAATAAAATTATCACACAGTCTTTGGCTTTTTTTTTCCCAAAACTGAACTACTAGCCAATGTTTTGTCTAGTTCCATATGCCAGTATAATGCTGTCTCATCTGCATTGTAAATATCCTCAGGCTTATACTCTTTGATTATTTTATATAATTCATTATGAAATCTAGAAAAGTCTTCAAGTGGTGCACTTGCAGCTTCACCTTGATACCTGTATTCTTTTATATGATAACACTTCTTAAAATTTGAGAGCCATCTTTCAGAAGTATTGAAACCCATTATATCAAGGCCTTCTGCAAGTTGAACTGCCTTGTGTTGAATTATTATCTCTGTAACTGTTTGTAATGCCTTGGTTATCCTTGATACCCAAAGAGCAAGTGCCTCTTCTAGTAAAGGAAACTTTGCAATTCTTTGTCATTTTAATTTAACATTATTAGAACCTGGTTCAAGTGATAACCACCTATCTTTTTTTCAAATAATATTTGAAATTGTCACTTCAGCAATAGAAAATTGTTTAGCTAACTTGACTTGACTAATACCCTTCTGTTTTAAGTAGCATATTTCTGCTTTTTGAGTACCTGTTAAGCTTTTTCTTTTTGCAGGTGATTTATTTTCTTTATTACATTTTTGCTTCTTTGGTTTCTTGAAAGATTTTATACTATCATTCATTACTATGTATATTCCTTTAATTTTACCTTGCTAATTATTGTTACTGTGATTTGAGAACACTACTGCAATTATATAATACTAAATTACTGGGGTCTTCTTGTATATAATAATGAGGAAAAGAAGAAATATAAAAAAAAAAAATTTCTTTTAAAAAAAAAAACAAAAAAAAAAAACAAAGCATGTAAGTTGTAAATTAAGTTCAGAAGTTTAGAGGTTCAAAGGTTTAATTGAACTCTTTAAAAATTAATAATAGTTTAATACATATTAAAGAGTGTCGCTTATAATTTCTAATACATACTTTTTATATATTTTTGTTTAACAATTACATACGTACGTACGTACATATGTATATACTTTTAGAATTTACTACAAGAAGCACATATCAATATGCACTATGTAGCTAAAAAAGAGAAATAACCCCAAAGTCTTTACTATGATATATGCATATATGATCATCAGGTTGCTTCATCTGATTGGTTGATTTATATCACATGACACTGACTTCACTATATCGAGTGACATTTTGTTATATCTGTTCGAAAAAAATCTTCACTATATCTTATATCGAGAGTTTACTATGTAACTTCACTATATCGAGAGAATATTTAATATATTTGGTTTTGTACTAAAAAAATTCTTTACTATAGACCGATCTTCACTATAATGAGAGTTTACTATAACGAGAGTAACTTGTAGTAGTTAAATTGTTAGAATTGGTCTAGTAGTTGTTAAGATATTGTTAAAAACAAATTTTAATTATAAGGTTTATTTATATAAAATTTTATATAGTTAGCTAATAGTTTTTTAGTAATATCTTAGCAACTATTAGACCAATTTTAATAATTTAATTACTGTTAAATACGTCTTAATAAGCTCTACAACTTTCAATTATTTTATATGAGCTATTAACTTAGTAAGAAAAAAAGTTTATCTTGGACGAACAGCAAATTTATAATTAATACAAAATTTTATTATAAAATTATAAATCTGCTATTTATCTAAGATAAACTTTTTTTACTAAGTTAACAGTATATGTAAAATAATTAAAAGTTGTAAAACTCATTGAGACGCACCTAATGGTAGTTAAATCATTAAAATTGATTTAATAGTTGTCAAGATATCACTAAAAAACTATTGGCTAACTATATAAAATTTTATATAAATAAACCCTATAGTTAAAATTTGTTTTTAACAATATCTTAACAACTACTAAACCAATTTTAATGATTTAACTACTATTGGGTACATCTCAATGAGCTCTACAACTTTCACTTATTTTATATAAACTATTAACTTAGTAAAAAATCTTACTATTTTAGAAAACATTTTGTTTTACATTATATGAAATTTTTTTTTAGTTTAGTTAAGAATCATCAAATAAAATTGATCATCATGTATTATTTTTGTTAGCTACTATATATATTATATATTGGTATTAAAACTAGACTTTTAGATATACAAATCATTTATTTATAGTTAAAATCTATCAAAGTTGTCAATATTCTTATATATATAATTGATCTAGATTTTGTATATTCTTATCTGCTTTCAATTAATTTCTATATATCTTTTACTTTATCTACTCTATCTACTATCTTAATTAATAGTATCAATAAATATATAAACTCTTTCTAATGATCCCTCAACTCAATTTTTCACAACAAAAAATTTTAACAAAAACTGTAGAACTATATTAGAGAAGAAGAATATAAGACTAACAAGAACTATAAACTAGCACCTATTATTTAGAAATATAGTCAGACCTTCCTAAATGCATGTTACCAGGACCACCTCTAAAGTATGCATTTAGAGAGGGCTGCAATTAGAAAATACTAATAAAATCACAATGTTACTATTAGTATGTAATAATATAGCTTTAGTAGCCTTGAAATAATGAATTTGATTGGCTGGTAATCCTGTAAATGCATTTATGGGAGAAGTTTTTATAAGTAGGCCAGACGGTTAGCATGCACTTACAAAATAAAGAACATGTATTTATCTATAAGTCCTACTATGAGCCCAGGTTTAATACTGTATTTAGAGAGATACTGCATTTAGAGAGTGTGTATTATTACTGGAACAGTTCTGCTTAGATACAAGCATCTATTTTTAATCAATATATCAAGCATCTTGATAATC